ACAAAAACACCTGAAAATCAGCTTTCGTTTTTGGTCTTTTGGTGAAAGCCATAAGTGATAGGTGGAGGTGACTGACAACGAGAGTTATTGGCGGTGATAATGGTATGCCGGTGGAGGAGAATGGTTGATGGTTGAGAGAAATATCAAACTCTCATATTGATATCTCTCAATCTAAGAGATATCAAAATCCATTGGAAACATTTATTATATCTAGAGATAACAAGTTCTAGATCTCGTTTGACTTTACTAAACACGAAAAAAAGATTCTGCAATTTAGAGATATCAAAATCCATATCTTTTACTCACCAAACACACCCTTAATAGTATATTCACCCTATTAATTAGGCGGTAAAATATATTTATTTTTCTTTCACCCTAAAATATTTAAACAAGAAGAGAGAAATAGTTTTATTTTCTTCTTCTAAATTGTTCACTCTTGTTTTATTTCCTTCCTAAAAAATTTATCCAAACAAGGAGTAGGAGTTAGAATTCAAAAGAATTAGAAAAACTTAAAATTACGTGTGTAGTACAAAACTTTTGTTTAATTTCGTGTGTTGTACGAGTTAAAATACTAGTAATTTTAAAAGAGACGAGAATTTGTATACTTGAAGGGATGGAATATGGGAGAAAGACCATAGGACAAAAACATGAAAAATATACCAAAATAAGACTTCCATATTTTTATTCCCGAAATAAGACTTACATTATCATACATGGTCATATACATTATCAAAAAAGTATAGTAATTTGTACATGTACACTACCACATTACAACAGGGCAAAGTCACATTACCACAATGCAAAGTCTTATTTCGGAAAAAAAACATGAAAATCCTATTTTAATACTTTTCTCTATGTTTTAGTCCTATTTAGGATGATTTCTAATGGAATATTTCATATTTTCATTTAAGTTTATTTGGTGAAATTAAAGAATGGAAATAAATTTTTTTGAGTAAATTCTATAATTGGTTCTTTATAACAGGGAGGTTTCCCTAATTAGTCCTCTATTATTAAATATTATATAAGTGATCCTTCTTTTATGGGTATCTTTCCACAAATAGTCCTTTTTTGATCTTCTATCATATTGATGTTAATTTGAGAGCTAAAAGTGTAATTTCACAATGATAATATATCTTTTTTGTCATACACAATTTCAAAGGTTGTTCCGTTTGCGTCGTTTGTGAATTAAAGTCGCTTTCTACTACAACCATAATCTACAAATGTGGTCTTTCGTCAGAACCCTAGCCCACAACTATAGTCATTATTTTTGTGTTATCCGTTTAACCAATATCCGAACACGTCACTAAACATAATGTTGATGTCAAATTATACTTTTAGTCTTTAAATTAACACCAACACGACAGAAGATAAAAAAAGGACCATTTGTGGAAAGATATCCTTAAAAAAAGGACTACGGTGTAATATTTGATAATAGATGACTAAATACAGAAATCTCATATTATAAAGAATGGAATAGTTGTTGAAATAGAGCAAGCACATAAAAAGAAGGAAAGGTCCCTCCCATGGCTGAAAACGAAAGGGGTCACGACATTGGCAGGGGAAAGAGAGAGAAATTGTCATTCCCGAGGAGTTGTACAAAGCAATATGCAGTAGTCCGTGAATCCCTGATTCCCCGCGGGCCCACCTTGCGGTGCCCAACCACTGGGTCCCGCTGTCTGTAAGGTATAGACGTTTCATTGTTCATTTTGTACCCCGGTTTTAAATTAAGAAAAATACTCGAGACTCCATTTCGTATACAATAAATACTTGGAAAAATTGATATAAATACTTTCAGAAATTTGAAATTTCATAATAATACTCTCAAATTCAATAAAAGACTCTGGTACTCCCAATTAAACTATAAGTTTACATTACTACTCTCACTATCTCTAATCAGCTTTTCTTATGCTTACATGTAAGTAATTATGCTTAGTTGATATCTTAGTTATTATTTTTTGTTTTAATAAGAGGAAAAAATTATATAAATACTCATAGAAATTCAAAATTTTACAATAATTATCCCAAAATCAAATAAAGACTCCAATTCTCCTAAAAGTATATTCTCGTTGCACGTTACTATATTTGACTAAAATTATTTTTAAAGTATTTTATATGAAAAATGGTGTGAAATTAAAAAATAAAAATTACATATTAAAAACTAATATAGTAATATGTAAAAATAATTTTTTTAGTAATATTAAAGATTAATTAATTGAGCTTAATTGGCATCTTAAGTAGTTTTTTATATTTTAATAAAAAATATCCCTCTGTCCAAAAATTATCTTCTCATTCACTATCAAGAGTATTAACAAGATCAAATTTTATTTACTTTGCTTATCTATTTTAATTATGTATTTGATAAAATAATATAATTATATCATTACTAGTTTTATAGATCTTATAATGTAGTTTTTAGATATATAATTTTATTTTTTGATTTCACANAAATAAAGACTCCAATTCTCCTAAAAGTATATTCTCGTTGCACGTTACTATATTTGACTGAAATTATTTTTAAAGTATTTTATATGAAAAATGGTGTGAAATTAAAAAATAAAAATTACATATTAAAAACTAATATAGTAATATGTAAAAATAATTTTTTTAGTAATATTAAAGATTAATTAATTGAGCTTAATTGGCATCTTAAGTAGTTTTTTATATTTTAATAAAAAATATCCCTCTGTCCAAAAATTATCTTCTCATTCACTATCAAGAGTATTAACAAGATCAAATTTTATTTACTTTGCTTATCTATTTTAATTATATATTTGATAAAATAATATAATTATATCATTACTAGTTTTATAGATCTTATAATGTAGTTTTTAGATATATAATTTTATTTTTTGATTTCACACCACTTTTATTAAACATCATAACATGTAAAAGGAAGATATTTTTTAGAGTACTGAAATCTTTATTTGGTTTTGAGAGATTATTGTAAAATTTTGAATTTCAGAGAGTATTTATACAATTTTTTTCTCCTATTAAAACAAAAAGAACAACTAAGATGTCAACTAAGCATAATTACTTACATGTAAGCATAAGAAAAGCTGATTAGAGATAGTGGGAGTAGCAATGTAAACTTATAGTTTAATTGGGAGCACCAGAGTCTTTTATTAAATTTGGGAGTATTATTGTAAAATTTCAAATTTCTGGGAGTATTTATATCAATTTTTCCTAAATACTTTCTCCGGCCCTATTTTAATTAAAAATTTTTCTCTTTTTTCGATAATTTTTATTTATTTACGTGATTTTATTAAATACTGGATAAAATAAAATATTCTTGTCACCTCTTATTTTGTAAAGCTTTTGACGTAGTTTTTTAATATGTAATTTTTATTTCTTATTGGAATACCAATTTATATATAAAATAATTTCAGAAAGTGAATTTTTTAATCGTAAACCCCAATTTGATTTGTAATCAAATTTAGGATGGATGGAGTGTAGATCAAGACACTTAATGTGAGTGCGTGCATACAAATTGGGGAGAAAAACCAAAGTAGGACTAAAGGTAAGAAAGAAGGAGAAGAGTGTGAAGAAGAAGATGAATAGTGTGGGTATATGTTGAGCCTCCCTCTTTCCACCTCCCCTCCTTCCAAGAAGAGGAGTATAAATAAGGGTGAAATTGGGGCTAGGAATTCGAACTAATAGGCCGGCCCAACAGGCTGGGTCGCCCCTAAATAAATAATAAACGTACGACTAACGGGCTGGTCCAACATACTGGACTGCCTAATCTAATATTATACAAAGACCGGATACCCCTTGTCCAGGGTATCCATCAATACTAAAATAGGACTTTCATGTTTTTATTTTCGAAATAGGACTTGCATTACCAAACATGATCATATACATTACAAAAAAATATAGTAATGAGCACATGTACACTGCCACATTACCTTAGTGCAAAGTCTTATTTCGAGAAAAAAACATGAAAGTCATATGTTGGTACTTTCTCTATGTTTTAGTCCTATTTAGGGTGATTTCGATACAAATTGAGATTGTAAAAGAGTATAGAGTGAGAAACAATCAATATGTACCATTCATTTCATTTTTAGAGAATAAGAAGTTAAATTTTTGAGCCACCCAAAAAGAAAAGTTGGAAAATAATTTGACATGGAAAGATTATAAAATTATTATAATAATCTCTCATCCATTCACTAATCTCTCATCCATTCATTCATATTCACTAATCTCTCATCCATTCCCCCATTGTTTGAGTAGTGATTTAGAAAGGAATCTTTTTGTTTAAAATTTTATGCAGTGTTTTATAAAGAGTTAAAAATCACATGTAGTTCGAGAATTTCTGAAGATGCCATTTTGGAAGAAAAAATGGTAGCACTTTGTCTTGTTTAGCAGTGTTGTTATAGGTAGGTTCATTATTGGGTGACAGTTTCTTCACACTCCAACTGGGAAATTATGCCTTAATTTGACAAATGATAGCTACGGTATTGCAAAGTAGACCCCTACTTATAGAATGCTGATTAATGCATTTTGCATAATTGAAGTTTTGATTTACCACCAACCAGCTCTAGTAACCTATGGGCCCTATGACATATTACCACCCCAAATCACATTCTCGAATGCATGTAATAATAAATTAATGGCCCGAGAATATACGGCAAAATCTCAATCATATATCTATACAAAATATATACTCCGTATATATCTATATATATACGGAGTATGTCGTTGCGCGGTTGGCAAGGCAAGGGGTGCTAAGGAATAAGACCCGAGTTTGATTCCTAGCCTTTGCGATGAGAGGCAACTATGCTAAGCATACGACCTCTACAAGTACCAAGTGTAAGTTCCACTCTTTACCACTAATCTGTGATTAAGGTGCAATTTACCTCTTCTTAGTGATTATCCGGCCGGATCTGAGGGAGCCCTGGGGAATGAGGCTCATCCTTTTTTATAAATATTTATATATAAAGTAGGGTGGAATAAGCAGATCAAATATGATTGTGTCATGTGTCACGCCACATAAGCTACCTTTTAAGGGTGTCATTTTTTCATTTCTCCACTTTGATAGTTATTTTTGTTGGGCTTTGTGGAGGCTTGATAAACATCAACTGCCATCCGCCACGATCGCCTGTATCGAGTAATCTTCCTCAGCTCTCCTGTTGCAGCGGCCCTATCATCAGACAACTGAAAGGCCCGTTGAAGCTCTCCCAAGCTCCAACACATCAGTCACGGCAAAATCTGCCCCTGACTCGTCCTCGGTCCCTACCGGCTCCCACTGCAGACGCACACTGCCGGATCCTGGAACATCCTGAGAACAAACACTCTCCGTACTCAGCAAGAAATTTTCCGGAGATGTTCCAACAGCTGGAATACTGGTTCTCTTGACCCACTGTCTTCTAGGCAACTTGGCTGAAGCGCCTCTTGAGCTCCCACTGCCATAAATACCTCTGACTGGTCCCCTTGAACCTTTCCACGCTCGTTCATCCTGAGTCTGACCAGTGGCTCTAGGTTTCTCTCTTGCACAGACAACCTTATTCTGCCCACGAGACTCTGTGAACCGGACTTTGTTTCTCTTCTGAACTGGGACGGTCACTCCCTCAGATGGTAACCTGACCATGTACAACGAACCTCTCTTCTTTCCACGGGCTATGACAAGATTTACCTTCACGACCTTCCACTGTCCATCTATGAACTTTACCTCGTGTCCCTGTTCGTCCAACTGCCTGACAGAAATCAAACTTTTCTTCAAGGCTGGAACCACTCTGACATCCTTCAAAGTCCAGAAACCGACTAAGGTCTTCAACACCATGTCACCCATGCCCGTCACCTCAAGAGCACTGTCGTCCGCTAGTCGTATCTTTCCAAAGTCCCCAACAACTAGATTCTGCAATGCTTCACCGCTGTGGGTGGCATGAAATGAAGCACCAGAATCCATGACCCAGGAATCCACATTGCTTTCCTCGCAGCAAGTCAAAGTGACCTCCTCGTCACTCGTAGAGCCTTCAACAATGTTCACTTTCTTGTCATTCGGACATTGATTCCTAAAATGCCACACCTCCTTGCATTTCCAGCACGTTACACCTGAGCTGTCACGAGTCGAAACTCCTTTATCTGTTCTTGCTCCCACTACCTCTGCTATTTCTTCTGCCTCTACCAACATGAAGTAATTCACCAGATGACTCCCCTGAACTCTTTCTTCTGACATCCTTGCCAAGAACGAGATCTCGAATCTGATCAAAGGTGAATCCATCAGGCCCCACTGAACCGGTAACCACTGTAACCGTTCCGGACCAACTATCAAGCAAAGACGATAGCAGTAGCAAAGCTTGAACTTCATCATCGAACTTAATGCCCACTGACGCAAGTCTAGCTAAGATCGAATTCAACTTGTTGATATGCTCGGTAACTAAAGTGCCTTCTCTCATCCTTGTATTCACCAGCTCTCTAATCAGAAAAACTTTGTTAGCTGCAGATGGCTTCTCGTACATATTAGACAGCGCTTCCATAATTCCCTTCGCTGTCTTCTTCTTCAGAATGTTGAACGCAACATTCTTGGTCAACGAGAGATGGATCACGGACATTGCTTTCCGATCCAAACCTGCCCAATCTGCATCCGACATCTTTCCTGTCTTGTCACCCAAAACCACGTCCAAATCTTTCTGAACCAGCAAATCTTCAATTTGCATCTTCCACCAACTAAAATCTGTACCATCGAATTTCTCAATTCGGAACATCCCGTCTTCTGCCATCTCAAACTACAAATGAAACTCAATTTAGCCCACTGCCCGGGTCCACCACTCCTTTTCTTATTTTTTTCTTTCTTCGGCCCAACACCTTGCACACAGCCTTTTTCCTTCGTACCAACTTTTCTTCGATCAACCTGCTTTTCTTCTTCGCAGGTAGGCGGCGCTACAGCAACTGGGTTGGCGGCTCTGCACAATCTCGGATGGACGGTTCTCGACGGCGGCGACACCTGAACCAGCGGCCGTGCGTGGATGACTGACAGCTAGACGGAGGGCTGCGGCACCTCCACGTGGCGGCGGCTCCTTCTGCCGCTGCTCATGCGTGCGGCGGTCTGTACGTAAACGGCGGCGACGATCCTCACGGCGACGGCGGCAAGACCCACCGGCGACGATCTGATCTGACGGCGGCGGCGCGATCTGAAACGGCGTGGCTTCGTGGCGGCTTCTCAACCAGGCGGCGGCGGATCTCCTCTGCGCGCGGCTACTTCGACGACGGCGGTGGTTTGCTCACCCTCGCTCCTGCGCGTCTGACGGAAGCAGCGGCTCCAGATCTGTCGCACACCCCAAAAAACCCTAGGTGACAAATTTTCTAACAATTTGTGTTCTCGTGTTGAACAACCTTTCTCTGATACCACTTGTTGGGGATTAAGCACACAACACACACAAATATCTGCGAGAATCAAGAGAGAAACGGAACACAAACGACACACAAGAATTTAACGTGGTTCGGTTTTCCTAATCCACGGCTGCAACAGGAGGATTAGGGAAACCGAACCACGTTAAATTCATGTGTGTCGTCTATGTTCCGTTTCTCTCTTGATTCTCGCAGATATTTGTGTGTGTTGTGTGTTTAATCCCCAACAATTTTATGATGTTAAATATATTTTATGATTTTATGAGATTACTTTTTTGGACCTTTGATTTAATTTTTTATTAATTTTTTTGGCTTGCTATTATTTGGGTGGCTTGCTATGTTTAGCAAGTCAATTTTACTTTTTGACTAGTGTGCTATAATATACCACATCCCTTGGAGATTGAAAACATAGACTCACTTGCTATTATATAAGTTTAGCATGGCATATTGATAAGGTTGGAGATGCTCTAAGGGGGTTAAAACATGGAGAAGTCATGCTTACAAAAGTAATAACATAATATATGTATGTGTTCACTTTGTTAAAAACCTTAGGACCATAAAATTTTATTAATTTAAAGAGATATTAGTATATCAATAAATAAATATCTTTTTGATTAAAAGAGAGACTTTTTAAACCCAATGAATTTTGTACATATGTATTAAAAATAAATGAATTATATATGATTTTCATATTCATGCATCAACCAATTTTTTGTTACTAATTAAATATATCCATGTATAATATCAATTCATGTACTGGCCTAGCTAGATATAATTATTCTTTTAAAAAATTGGGTCACGTTTAATTCTCCAATGCCTGGCACTTTAGCTGCGCTTGCAAAGGCTCTAGTATATCTTAGTGCTCACATTATGATTTTACAATTCACGTACTAGTAAATTAGGGGCACATACAGTGGTTGTCTATTTCTTTTATAGAAAGAAAAGAAGTAATAAATTATTTTTTATTCAAGTGCAAAAAAGGAATAAATTTTACCTTGGGACAAATGAATAAATTTACTTGAATCTTATGTTTTTCAATCTTAAAATAATTGTTTAGATTTTTTTTCAACAAAACTAAACAAACATTAATTATTAATTACATAAAAATTGTATTACATACTAATAATAAAATAGTTATTTGGAAAGCAAATCTTAAAAAAACATTTTCGTAATCCACATTTTAATTTTTATTTATTTCTTGATTTACTTTATAAGCCCAATGCATTATTCTATAAAAGAAAGATGTAAAAGTATGCTTACATATTGCTATTAGAGTAAATTCTCAAAATTATCCTTTGTTATAAGGTATTTTCCAATTTAGTCCCCAATAAGTTCTAATTACCTAGGTGGTCCTTTATAATTGAGATTTATTTCTCAGGTAATCCCTCGTAAATAATATTACTCAAATTATGATTAATTAAAGTGTACTTTGGTAATTCTATCATCTAAATTTAAAGTGTATTTTCGAAATGTCATTTCTATGCAATTAAATATAAAATTTAAAAAAATACACTGATTATACATGATCCATGAATTTATTAAAAAAACTATAAAAATCTTTTAATATTCGAATCAAATACACATTTTTAATTAGAAAAAATAATTTTGGGAAAGGACATCATTAGAAATGATCATTTTAAGAACTTATTCCAAATTTACTTGATAAAAAATACAAAAATACTCCCTAATTAGTCATCATTTGAGTAATATTATTTACGAATGACTATTTATATATAAATCTTAATTATATAAGATCGCGTAGATAATTAAAACTTATTGAGGATAGATTTGGAAAAACACCTTATTATAGATGACTATTTTCTAAATTTACTCTTGCTATTAATAAAAGAAAACAAGTGGAAATGAATGGGAATGATGAATGTATTGCTAGTCCCATATCATCTAGGTTCCTGACTTGTTCTTTTTTATAAGAATGTATACTGTATAGTAAAAAAATAAGAATTCACCCTACGTAGCACTCTAACTCATCTAATACTACGCATTTAGCACTGTTTATTGTTTTTTACCAAATTAGCTATTTATGTTGTCAATCTCTTCCAATCATACCCTTTATGTTGTCAATTTCTTTTATCTATCCGACTATCAATTGTTTCAATTCCTCTTTCAACTCCTATATCAAATTCGGACTCACATAATGTATACTTTGTGTATAGTGGCATAGTACTCTTTTTTTTATCAAATTCTTTCTTCAATCAATTAAATGTAGTTTTGAATAAATATATACAATAAAAAGACGATATATCAAANAAAGGAATTATATACTCCCTCCGTCCACAAATAACTTTACATTGCGCGTTACGATGTTTGACTGAAGTTATTTTCAAATCATTTTATATGAAAAATGGTGTAGAATTGAAAACTAAAAAGTGAATAAAGTTTGACCCTTTGAATAGTGAACGTAAAGTTTATTTGTGGACGGAGGGAGTATTAAAAAAACTACATAAAACATTCTATAAACAAGTGGTGACAATGAGACTTACATATATAACTACCAATGTTATAAATAATTATTATTTGACTTTCATATAAAGTATTTTTACAAATATATTATTTATAATGAATACATCATAAATAAATTAAGATGCAACGTAACCACAATAATTTCTTGAAATTTAACATTATTACAAATATATTATTTATATTTTTTTTTCAAAAGTAGTTTTTTGTGTATGAATAATAATAATACATTTTTTTTATCTAAAAGGAATTCATTAAGATAACGTGATGATGATGATGATGATCATAATAATTATAATAATAATTATAATAATAATAATAATAATTTATAACAACAAGAATTAGAACGAGAATAATATAAAAATACACTAAAATAAATTGTTTTAAAGTTCTTTTAGGTTTTCTAATTTTTTTGAAGTTTTTCAGGTTCTTCTAGTTTCTTCCGGTTTCTTCCAATTTCTTCCATGTCCTTCCAGTTTTTTCTTTTTGTCCAGTCCTAAAGAACATGCTTTAAATATGTTTTAGAAGAATTTATGTTAATAGTGCTAAAACATAATGACTTTTCCTAAATAGCATCTCATGTGTTTTTTCCCAATCTAGCACTTTTAGAGCCTGTTCTTTAGGACTGGAAAAAAAGAGTTGGATGTTGGAAGAAACTTGAAGAACTGGAAGAAACTGGAAGGAACTGGAAAAAACTAGAAGAAACTGAAAGAAACTGGAAAAAACAGGAAAAACCTGGAAAGAACTAGAGGAAACCGGAAAAACTTTAAAGAATTAGAAAACCTAAAACAACTTTAAAAAAATTTATTTTAAATTCTTGTTGTTATAAATTATTATTATTATTATTATTATTATTATTACTACTACTACTACTACTACTACTACTACTATTATCATCACCATCATCATCACGTTATCTTAATGAATACCTTTAAGATACAAAAAAAAGTATTGATATTTTTCAAATACAAAAAACTGCTTTTGCAAAAAAATAATTATAATATAAAGTTAGCATAAATATACAAATATTAAAGTTTAAAAAGTTTTTATGGTTACGTTGCACCTCAATTTTTTTATGCAGTATTCATTATAAATAATATATTTTCCATTATACTTTATATATTACAAGATTTTGTTTTAAATATCAGACATGTCACATAATTTATTCAAACCTATTTTTTTCTTTCATGATTGACATTGTATTTTCATTGAAGACCTATTTTTGGAAATAAAGACATAAAACCTGTTTTTTTACATTTTTATGTTTTACTCCTATTTTAGTCTTTTTTCTCTAAACTATTTTGACTCACAATTTTTTATATAAAGATTAGAAAAATGAGCAAATTTTAAGTAATAAAGAGAAAGATGAGAGGTATTATATAAAGTTAGATTAATAAAACATTCTATGTCACTATTTTATCTATAATTTTTTAATATATTTTAACATAATGATGTTTTCCTATTTTATCATGTAGATTAATATATAGAAAATTGACTTATTCATATTAAAAAGTTGAAGAAAAATATAATGAGTGTAAATCGTAAAAATAGTGAGATGAAAAATAATTTATAAACAATAGTTATGAACATAGCAGTTGTAATAATAATAATAATAACCACATTAAAAATATGTCGTTTTTAAAGTAATTGGTTGGGGAGTAGAAAGAGTTTGAAGAAAATGAGAATAGTTGGAAGGAACTGGAAGAAACTGGAAGAACTGGAAGAAACTGGAAGGTACTGAAATAAACTGGAAGAAACTAAAAAAAACTGGAAGGAACTGTAAGAAACTGGAAGTTAAGAGTTCAAGCCCTAAAGAACATGCTCATAGTCATATTCCATTAGTCATTATTCAAGTAAATATTTGTCATCACTGAACATTATAAAGTTCTATATAGGAAATAAAATAATTTAAGTGCTATTTAGAGAAATGACTTAAGTTTTAGTGTTATTTAGTGCAAATATTTCTATGTTTTATTCCCTTTATGACGCATATTTTCGTATTATCTACCATATATGCTCTCGTTATCAACAAGTGTTAGATAATAACTGATTATCCGA